ATCAACCAAAACAAATTTTCTTGATAAGCGAGAAACAGCATGAAATGTGTCGATGATCAAATTTATGCTGCACTCTTTTGTTGTTTACCGAGAGATTTGAAAATTTTTCTAAGATTCTGTCGTGCCTTGCTTGTTTGTTAGAAACCTTTTATCACCACATATTATGTCAAATGAACCCTCAAAAATGCAAACTTAAAAAAATTTATCATGACTTTAAAAAATATCATTAATGACTGTTAGATCTATTGTTAAAAACTAGACAAAGCTGAGACTTTTCCTGAAACTGGGGAACTAGTTAAATAGATGAACAAAGCCAATTAGTTGCTATACTTTGATTGTTTATAACTGTCTAATTCTGAATTTGAGCTTCAAATGTCAGAAACTGATGTTTGATGTATAATCATTAGGAACATCAAACTTAGGCGGCGCGTTTTTCCGCCTTTTCCGCCTATTTCAATTGTTTCCCGCCGTTTTCTATGAAGATGTTCAAAGCGTTTTGGCACTCTTTTTCTAAGAAACAGATGTATGCCGCTGAGCGCGGGAAACGTTTTTCTGAGAAAAACAACAGTGCGTGGCCCTTTTGTCTTATTTCAGTCTTCTGTATGGCTGCGCATGCTTTATCCGAGGATGAAAGAACACGGAAAAACACAATAGAAACAACATTTTGGATGAAATTATACTGAAACTCCACGAAATCCAATTTCAAAATTGTTTTTTTTTTTTTTGATAAATAAAGTTCCCGAGTACTCCGCCTTTTTCCGCCTAAAATACAGAGTGTTTTTTGGATGGATGCAGTTTATTATATAAAGTCTGGATAAACCATTTTTTGTGGGACGCAAAATGGTTTTGAGCTCGGTATTCAGCAGAACTTTTTATTTGTAACTAAAACTGACACTCTTATCTTTAAAACCTTTTGTATGCTCCTTTTGATCAAGGACCATTTTCACCTCCCTTTGTTTCAAAATTAATTGTTAGTTCTGCTCTAACGACCTATTTGTTCAGACTTTCGATACGAAAGTAACGGAATATTTGTGCTCGGGGTGGGTTTTTGTTCCGACTTTCGATACGAAAGTAACGGAATATTTGTGCTCGGGGTGGGTTTTTTTTGTCTTCAGGCAAATTTCGACTTCTTAACTAGCCATTTTTGACGGAATTTTTCTTTATCATTCAAAAGCATTGTTGTCTTGGGCCTAAATTTGAAAAACAATTTTACCTGTGATCATTTTTCGTAAAGTTATGAGGGTTTAAAGATTGCCATTTTAGCCATTTTGACCAATTTGGGACAATTAAGGCGCGATATAATTCGCGATATTAACGCGTAAGCGGAGACTTAATCCGGCTTATAAATCGTTTCGAATTGGTTGAACGAAGCTTATTTGCCATAATTGGTTTGTTACAAGAAAAGAAATCTATCTTTTTGTATTTTATATGGCGTGTGGGGGGATGATTTTCATTTAAAAAAATTCAAATTTTAGAAAAAAAACTTCATTTTATTTTATTTCATTTAATTTTTCTATGTTATTACCACTCCATAAACCTTAAAAGGCAGTCGGAACATTCAGGGCTTCGCCCTGATACGAGCAGTCTTGTTATAAGTTGCATGTGACTGTAAGAAAGGGTTAGATTCAGGAAAGCGAAATCTTGCTGAGGTAAAAGAAATGCATATTAGCTTCTATAGCTCAATTAAATAGAGATTTAAATTGAGTCAAAAAATTATTCAACCCCAACAAATGAGCGAGAAACTTGACGTAGAAACTTTGAAGGAAGAGCAACAAAGTTATTGGTAGTTCGCGAGGTACGACAGTTAAATACCGCTATTACTCTCATTAAGGATATTATCAGAAATGGTAAACTGAACTTTCAGACTAGTGTAAGATTTTATGTTTGGTCAACTTATGGTAAAGGAGGAGTAAACATTCTCGTAAGGATGCATTCTCACTTTAGAGAAGAGAAGTCCGATCTCACGTTTTTGTTCATTTTAAAAACATGACCTTCAAATCACGATATCATACCATACCACACCACTTGGTTTATTTTCCTATTATTAACTGCCACTTATTCGGACTCTTCTTCAACTGCTTGCTGAAACTCTTGAAATGATTGCGACAATCTCTCATCTCAACCATTTCATCGCAATCTCTCAGCGCGTCATTTGAAATGATTGTTAATTCCTCTTTTTTCCTTACAAAAATAGTATCTGTTCCACACTAAGCTTGACAATTTGTTCCCTTTTCTAAAAGCAAAAGCATAAACTTTCCCTGTTGTTGTTGTTCCGACTTTCGATACGAAAGTAACGGAATATTTGTGCTCGGGGTGGGTTTTTTTTGTCTTCAGGCAAAGTTCGACTTCTTAACTAGCCATTTTTGACGAAATTTTTTATATCATTCGAAAGCCATTGTTGTGTTGAGTTTAAATTTGAGAAGATATTTCACCTGTGATCATTTTTCGTTAAGTTATGAGGGTTTAAAGATTGCCATTTTGGCCATTTTGACCAATTTGGGACAATTAACGCGCGGTATATTTCGCGCTATTAACGCGTAAGCGGAGATTTAATCCGTCTTAGAAATCGTTCCAAATTGGTTGAAAGAAGCTTATTAGCCATAATTGATTTGTTACAAGGAGCGAAATCTATTGTTTTGTACTTTATATGGCGTGTGGGGGGATGAATTTTTTAGAAAAGTTTTCAAATTTTAGAAAAAACATTTTTCATTTTATTTTATTCCATTTATTTCTTTTTAAATGTTTTTTATCTTATTACTGCTCCATAAACGTTAATAGGCAGTCGGAACTTTCAGGGCTTCGCCCTGATACGAGCAGTCTTGTTTCAGTTTAGCGCAGATTAGTCAGTAGTACGAGTTTTCTACGCTTTTAGACACGCTTTGATTGGTCATATTGTATGATCGCTCTAACATTTCAAAAAACATTCGGACCTGTAATGGATGTTAAATACAGTTAAAAGCCACCTGCTCCCGCTCAGATTTTCCACCTTTGGTTTAGCTTGGATGAAACGCAGTCATAAAAAATTGTTTGAAAAAAAAATTGAACAAACTAAACGCTTTTTTTTTCAAATTCCAATAGACAAAAAGAGATCAGATCAAAAACTAATTGCTTAAAATTTAAACAAAATGTAAAGAATTCAATCACTTGAACTTATTTTATTTTTTGATTTGATATACTTTATTTCGCAAAATATGGACCCAGTTTCATGTCAGAAATAAATAATTTCTTACTCATTTTTCAATCAAAAGACGATCACTATGCCTGGCTGGTCAATGTTTTTTTAAACTTAAAACTACACGAGCTTTTTGTCTAGCACAACAAAACTAAGATAGGAGTGAAGATGTGCTCTCCCTGAAATCAAATATAAAAAGATCTTTGCCATGTTCTCTACTAATTTATGCGCTTTTTCAAACGTTTTTGTAAATCAAACTTTTTTTTTGTAAATCATCCACCCACACGCCACATGAACTACAAAGTGAGAGATTTCGCTCCTAGTAACATAGAAACTATGACAAATAGTTTGTCTCAATCAGTTTGGAACGAATTCTTGGGCTGTTTAAATCTTTAAATCTCCCTCTGCGCGTTAATAGCGCGAAATTTATTGCTCGTTAATTGTCCCGAATCGGCCAAAATGGCAGCCTTTAAACCCCAATAATTTTGCTAAAAAATTATCATGTGTGAATTGTTTTTTTAAATTTACGCTCAGGACATCAATAAAAACATTGAATAAAAAAACATTTGTCAAAAATGGCTAGTTAAAACGTGAAAATTTGTCTGAAGAAAAAAACCACCCCGAGCCCAAAAATTCCGTTATTTTCGTTATTAAAGTCGGACAATTTTTTCTGGTGAATTATCCCGCCCCACAAAATCTTTCTTAATTGAATTGAGGCTATCTACTTGGTCTTATTAATTTCGTACGACTCAATATTCCGCACTTGATCTTTGATATTGTTCACATTTTATAGTTTTTCATTAGTTGTTTTTCCCAAAAATATTCGCATTAATTAAGGTGCAATCGGAAGACTCAGGGCTTTGTTTACGAGCAGTCTTGTTTCATTGAATTTTGTTGTGGCCCACATGAGGCTTAGTTTGACACATTTTGCTCGACAGTTGAACTGCCTGTGTTCAACTAATTTTAAATTGAAAATTTTCAGCCCAAAAAAAGTTCCATTTCAGTTTTTGTGAAACCTTAGCAATTTTGTTTTCACATTTTAATTTGTTTCAACTTTTTGTTTTCAATATTTTATTGCATTCTACCATTCATATAATTTGCGATAATTTTTGAAAAAAAGGAGAAAAAAATTTATTAGAAAAAGAAATTTACAATTTTTCATGATTTTGATTGGTTTGTCTCATCGCACAATCTAGACTGATTTTTATATACTACTTTGCACAGCAGTCAATGGACCTTGTTAACTCTACACTCCAATGACGAACTACCACTCCTATGCTATAATTAACAAAAATTAGGGTTCTGCAAATTTGGTACTTTGTAACGAATTTTCCCTTTTTCGCAATAGGGGCAATAGTTGACAAATTATCAGTCAAATGTCCTCGTGTATCTTGATCATTAGAAAAAAAAATTGGGAAGGAAACGTCTTTAATTAAGTCATTTAGGAGATCAAGGATTTGTGATTTTTTTCTATTTCAATAATCTATAGCACCTTGGATAAAAGTTGCCAAAAATATTTTTCAAGGAAAATAAAATTAAGAAAAGCTAAACAGTTATATGCTTGAAACTTTAGGGGAAAATTGTGTTCAAATTATGTGACAATTAATCATAAAATTTTTCATAAAAAGTAAGAAACAAAAAAGTTAAATCGTGTAGATAATCACACTTGTACTGAACTTTTTTGATTCTACGATAGATGTTAGAAAATTTCCTTAAGTTTTGTAATAAATTTTGTTAGATCTACTTTTCAGCGCATATAATATCAAATCAACCAACAAGTATAACTTTTAATTAAAATTTAAAAAAAAACATATAAAAATCTTGACCATTTTATATCTATCACTGAAAAAGCAGAAAAACGCTGAAGTTTTCCTCTTTTAAAACGAGTTGTTATCTATTAAAACTATCAATAATGTGCTAGACACTTTTTGCTTTAGGACTGACAGTTTTTGAACTCGAGTTTCGTAAGTTTTTTATGTCACAAGTTATGTCTGAGTTCTCTGATATGAATTATTTCACAAAAATGATAGATATTAGTATCTCGAAGAAGCGCTTGTTACGAATCGTGCCATCGTTTACGTCCGGGGATTTTTAAGAATATAATCTAAAAAAGTATATATCATTAATATTTGCGGATTTTAAAAATTCAAAGTTGCTAAAATTTATGAAAAAAAACATCCACTACTATATGTATCCAATATGTGTTTTTTCGTCTGTTGTGGCATGCTTTTGATAGTTCGCTGATTTGTTTGTTCACACATGTTGCAGCTGATGGCTCTTTTTTCGCTGAAGAAACAGTTGTTCACGTTCTTTCCATGTGGCTGAGGGCAGTGACCTCTCGTGCCTCTTGCGTGAGTGCACAGACAAAGCAGCAGCAGAATGCGCAACAGTCCCCACAAACACCCCCACTGATGTTCTTATGTTCACGCACCTAAAACAATTTTTTCAAGCTAGAGTGAGATGCAAAAAGTTGCAACAGGCAGAAGTTAATAAAAAGAGCAAATTACCGATTTCAGCAACTGAACCAAACTTGTACAACGAGTTTTTTTTTGTGAAATTAAGGCAGCTTTGAGAGAACAGAATGGCTTTTGTTGCCAATTACCCTCAAGCTATAATTGCTTCTAAATAAGTGTTTTGAACAGTTTTTCAAATATGAATTGAGCATTTTGCTATTTTTGAGCTGTTTGTTTCATTCTTTCATTAATTAATTCATTAAAAGGCATCAACCTGTCGCCAGGAATCTCCATGAGCAAAATCTATTCGCTTCCTTAAACGAGTTAACATGAATCAGGGGCGGATCTAGGTTTTTCTCGAGGGGGAGGGGGGGGGGGGTGGGTTCGGTCGACCAAATCAAATTTCCGAGCTCTCCCAAAACACTAAAAACTAAAAAGACCCTATTTTGACCTAACTTTCTGCGCCGCAGGCAAAGTTTTGAAAAAAGGGCATTTTTCGGCACTTTTTGTAAAGTTTTGACCAAAATCGCATTTCTTCTCAAAATAGTTCAAAGAGGGGACCCTTTGGGTCGACAAGGGGTCGAATTCCTGAGGGGATGGGGGAACGCCCCCCTCCCCCCAAATCAGCCCTTGATGCAAATTAGTGACGCCTTATTGTTTTGCTAGGATATAGCATTCCAGGTCTTGGAATGCAAATCTTGCAAGATTTCTTGTAACAAGCCTTGCAAGAAAACACATTCCTTGAATTAATTTTGCCGAATTCTTGCAAGATTCGCATTCAATTCGGAAGAAACAATCGAAATAATGAAATCAGAGTTAGTGCGTTTTCACTGCAGCAAAAATTGTTCCAAAATTGAACTGAATTTCTGCTTTTAAACAAATTCGGGCTTTAAAATGGCGAACTTATCTTCAAAACATTACCGATATTGCTGTTGAAACATTGTCTTTTAAATTGAACTAGTTTCTCAAGAAAAGTTGCCAATTGTTTAATTTAATCCTGTCGCAAATTCCAGTCCGAGAAAACCATTAACACAAAAATTGAATGAGGAACGGAAATTGAGCTCTGTTCTTCAAAAGTTGAGCTCTATTCCTAAAAGTTCCGCCAGATGAAGGAGAAGGTAAAAAATTTTTGAGCGTGTTTCATGAAAAAGAATCAAAAAATGCTGATGATATGGTAGGATTTTTTGGAAAGTTTGAACAATTCAAAAACAGTGCATGGGTGTTTGCTGCTGCAAGCTCAAACTCTATTAATCTTTTTCTTTTTTATTTTAATTGACTGAGTTCTTAAAAAGATAAGAAATGATTGCGGCGGAAACTCTGGATAATAGTTTTGTTATCCATCTAAAAATACAATCACATAGATAGCATAATGACCAATTAGCTAACTCAATATTTGACTTTAAGCTTACGCCTCAGTAATTTCTCTTACTGACACATGTTTGACGGAGTTGAATCCGAATTAACAGACTAAGTGATTGTTATCCAAAAACTGGGTTGTTTCTTACGTGCTTAATAATTGTTCCGACTTTCGATACGAAAGTAACGGAATATTTGTGCTCGGGGTGGGTTTTTTTTTCTTCAGACAAATTTCGACTTTTTAACTAACCATTTTTGACGGAATTTTTTATATCATTCGAAAGCTATTGTTGTCCTGAGCTTGAATTTGAAAAGATATTTTACCTGTGATCATTTTTCATAAAGTTATGGGGGTTTAAAGACTGCCATTTTGGCCAATTTGGGACAATTGACGCGCGATAAATTTCGCGCTATTAACGCGTCAGCGATATTTAATCCGTCTTAGAAATCGTTCCAAATTGGTTCAAGGATGCTTTTATGCCATAATTGATTTGTTAATAGGCGCAAAATCTATCACTTTTTACTTAATATGACGAGTGGGGGGATGTTTTACATAAAATCTCAAATTTTTTCAAATTTTTATTTTTATTTTTTCTATTACATTGAAATTTTTCATGTTATTAATGCTCCATAGACCTTAAAAGGCAGTCGGAACATTCAGGGCTTCGCGCTGATACGAGCAGTCTTGTTCAAATTATGAAGTTGAACTCCAATCAGTCTCTCTCGTAACAACAAAAAGACATACAATTTAACAATTGTCTACAAACTACCATCTGTCAACTTCGATCAGATTCTTTACATTTAAAAGCTTTTTCGAAAAATTTAGACTGTATAAAAAGAAAAGTGTTCAACTTGAATTGGTTTTTATCCTGGATCTTTATAAAAACAAAAGTTTTCAACTTGAATTGGTTTTTATCCTGGAACTTAAGAAGAAACTACTCAAAAAATTGATTACACGAACCTGATAAGATCAGTACCAAAAAAAACTCGCACAATATGTACGGCAGAGTTCTTTATATTTTAGTGCTATTCTGAGGATTATAATAGACTTATACATTAAATTGCACCATGAAACATCATTATGGATTGCTAATTTTATTGAAACGCGAAAAAAGTTGTATTTTTTACTTTCAGAAAATTTGCAGAAAATTCGAATTTGACAAATAACAAAAAAATAATAAAGTTTTTCTGTTCATGATGGTATTAGATTCGTGCCTGTAATATGAAAGCTCCTCAAAAAATTCAATGATAGCTAGATCAAGGCGCTTTCCGGATAGTGTTAAATTTGCGAAGGTCATGGAAATTCTCAAAAATAATGAATTTTCTGGTTCCAATGTTTATAGATCAAAAAACCTGCTCGTCTCTGTATCCTGCTCAGCTCTAACTTTCGAAAAAAAATAGAATCAACCAAGGTCCTTCAAAATAACTTGTGAAATGTTTAAAAAAAGAACAGTTTTGGTTTTAAATCAAAAATGTCATGGGTTCATGCTTTGGTTCAATTCATAGAGCTTATGATGAACTAGATTGGTTTTTTTTTGCTAAAATGTCTGTTTCATTTCTTGAAAACATGTATAACTTTTAATCATATCCTTTTTGAACAGAACTAGGTTAAAATCAGATCCTGATAAAATCTTATAGCTTCAGTTTCCAAAAAAAATGGTTAAAATCCTTGCATCAGAGTCCTCTATAAAAAATTGCACTTCTGAGGATTTTAGTAACCACTTATACTTTACATTGCACCATGTATGATCATTATGGACGGCTGATTTTTTCGGAAACAAAGAAGACATTTTATAACAGATCAAAATGCGGGATAGAAACATGAAAAATTGGGATAAAACTGAGATTGTAGACTCTTGAATCAGAAATTATTGAGAGAAAAAATTGTGTTTTTATTACCCAGACATGTGAAAGAAATTCGAACGCAAAAGAAAAATTAAAAATTTATTGCCGATGTTTGGATAAAGGCGCTTTCCGTATAGTGTTAAGCTGGCAAAATTCATGAATTTAAATGAATACGTTAAGTTTTTGATTTCAACCATTCTAGGCCAAAAATCTTGCTCAGCTCCACTTCAAAGAAAAAATTATACAACAACAAATGTCTTTCAATTTAAATTTTACAAATGGAACAGTACGGGTTCCCACCCAAAAAACCAAGTGTTTATGCTTTGGATCGCTTCACAGAATTTATGAGGAATTGTATTGGAATTTTGTTTTGAAAATGTCTGTCATTGATCTGCAGAAAGCATGTGACACATTTAATAACATCATTCTCTTACAAACTACCTTGCCATGGTTTACAAAAAAAGTTAACAAAAATTTTCGAAGAAAAAGCCCCGAGAACGGTGTCACCAGATTAACAAGATTACCTCTTTTGTTTTGAGAAAAGAGATCCGCCTTTTTGGCATATCAGAAATTCCACATATCACTTGAAAAAAATTCAAAAATAGCGGAATCTAATTGGGACGATAAATTGTCAAATTTTTTTCAATCTAGCCATCAATAGTAGATAGTGGGCTCTTCTTCCTCTTCGTTCTAATCTTATTTTCTTATAAAAAAGTACAGAAACAATTTTTTTCAATGCTAGTATAATTTTTTTTTCTTAAATAAACATGTTTTTGACATTTATTCAACAATTAATCGTAATAGTAATCGTAAGAGATCAAATTTCTTAAAAACTTTTCTATCATGCAAATTTAGTATTAAAATCGCTGATGCGATTAATTTTGTTGCTCTTTCGGTTCAAAAAATGTCCGCTCAGGCTGCAAAATTTTTGGGTTTAAAAACTTCAGTAACACATTGACTAGTACCTTAGCCCTGATTGACAGCAAGGAGTAGATGTTCACACAGGGCACGAAGTACAAGACACAGTGAAGAAAGAAGGATTCCCCAATTGCCTCCGCTATCTTTCCTGAAACAAAATAACGGCAGTGAATTATTTTGCTTGGTGTAGATTGTGTTTTTTCCGCCGGACCTCAAGAAAAACTTGTAGGAGTTCAAGTGCGGTATCATTATGAAGTGCTAGTGGCCGATACCGAAAAAACGTTTGAAAAAAGTGTCTCAGCATTGTGAAAAAACGAGCTGTTTTTTATCTAATTTCAATCTGAATGACAGGAAATTGATGAGAAGCTGACCCGCTGCTACAATTTTAACGGTTTTTTTATTAAAAAATTAAAAATGGATAAAAAAAAAACGTTTTTTTTTTGTCTAAATTTGTTTTTTAAACGGCGAGAGATTATTAAATTATTATATTGTTTGCGAAAATGTTTTCAAAGCAAGAACACCTCTAAAAGAAGTTACGCCTTCGAAAGAAAACGTTTTTTCAAACATTAGCTCGATTATGGATTTCCAAGTTGTTTCATCTAGCGTGATTTAAATTTTCAACTCTAAATCTCCAAAATGACCAAAATTTGAAGAAAAAATCGTTCAATTGCTTGAGGAAATTATTTTGTTCATCTATAACTAATTCTTTTATAAGGAACGGTTTTTAAGCAAAGGGAGACTGGAAAACTCGAAGCAGAAAAGCAGACTGGAAAAAGAACAACTAGCTTTTTCGCTTGTTGCGGAGTACGCGACACAACAAATGTGCCGAAAAAAATTACGTTACAAGTATTTGTACGCGGAAACCACGGAAACTCTGTAAGTTGAAACCATTTACATTTTGGAACATGTTTAAAGATTTATCTTTGGACTTCGGCAACAAACAGACACAAAATTGTGCGCCTAATAAAGGATTGAGAGCTTATAAACGTTTAACTAAAGTGAAAATGGATCGAGTAGCATCCTCCTCCCCAAATAGACCAAGTTAAGATCCTCTAACCCAGCGCTCAAATTAAATTAATTTTTCTAAGCGCTGCAATTTTTCTGATTGGCTGAAAGTTCCAATTTAGAACTAAGTTTACATCCTCCTTGGTCCGTTAAATCTTCATTCGAAAAATCTCGTTAGGTTTTTTTTTATTAGAAGTAGTTTAACTACTGGGGTAAGTGGCAAGGTTTCCTTTACATACCCGAAAGATAAGTTTTGTGGCTTAAGATCTGATTGGTTTATTGTTCCGACTATCGACAAAACGGATAATTTGTGCTCGGTGTGGTTTTTTTTAATTCAGTCAATTTTCACTGATCGAATTAATATTTTTCAACAAAATTTTTTATACCCCATTGAATATTTTGACCTCCTGAGTTCAAATATAAAAAGATATTTCACCTCCGATAATTTTCTATTTTTTGTAAAAATCTGAGGATTTGAAAATTGCCAAATTTACCATGTTCTGGACTAAATTATGCTCGCTTTGAAGAGTTCATTCGTAATCCTGAATGCGTAACGCGAATTATTTATACGTGGCGAATTATTCCGCACAAAAGTGAGCTGAGGCTAGCTAATCGATCGTATTAATTTCGTAAGACTCAAAGTTTTGCACATTTAAATTGTCCAAAATGCATAGTTTTTCAAAAAAAAAATTCCCAAAACTATTCGAAATAAATCAAAGAGAAGTCGGAACATTCAGGGCTGATATACGAGCAGTATTGTTCAATATAAGCAGAGATAAATACGACTGCTGAGATTTCTGAACCACCAAAATATGACGTAATTACTATTGGTTTGATGCAGAAATCAAAAAGAGGTGCAAATCAAACTTATCACTATTTCAATTAGCAGTAAATTCTGATTCACGCTCACAGTTCCTCGCCGAATGCCAGCGCAACGGAGCGAAGCAAAACCATGACAAATTGAAACCATGCCAGTATTTTGCGCTAATTGATAATCTATCCATTTTTGGCTTAATAACTTTCAGTTTGTTTGATGAGCAAGTGAAATTTGGAGCCCTAATGCCACAGAACCGAAGTCTGACTGGTTATGAAACACAAAACTCAAACAGGAGTCAATTTAAATCATGTAATTTTGTATTTTTGAGCTGAAAAAAATTGATTTAAAATTTTTAGAATTCCTTTTACTACTAAAAACAAAGAAAGTACTCAGTTATACGGCCCAAAATACCTTTTTTTCTGTTATACCGGCGACCTTAAACCGGGCTGTTTTGTATTTGACTATTTTTTCTTTCATTACATGATTTTTCGACTATTTTATATTGGACTGTTTTGTATGGGACTATTTTGCATATATACTATAGGACCCAAAATTATCAAACTGTTAATTGAGCTTTGTTTTTTTTTTTTACAAAAAAGTGATTTTTTTTGCTTTAAATTTCAACCAATCAAATAGATAATTATGATGCAACTTTCAAAATTTTAACGAGATCAGTTTCGAGCTGTTTAGCAAAAAACAACTAATCTTCTATGTTAGCATCAAAGTTTTTAAAAGTTACAACATCAATTAGCATACGTATATCTAAATTTATGTTCCGAGAGTCAGACAAATCAAAAATTAAAATCATTAAAAAGTTGAAGCGAAGCTTAAAATATTCACTTTTGTTCACTAGAAGCACTTTTGTTCTTCAGAACTCTTGAAACCTCTCAAAATTGTGGTGAAAACACCTAAATAATGCAATATTTCAGATCTAGTCAACAGCCCTTCATCTTCTCTTAAATTGTTTTACAAAGGGAAAACTTGAAAATATTTGGATGTAATAAAAATGAAAACAACCTAAATTGATTGACCAGCTTTCAACGCTGTTTCTTTCAACAATAAGTGCATAATTTTGGATAACAATTTCCGAAAGGGCAGATTTTTTGGAACAGATGCAAAAGTGGGGGTAAAATTGTTTTGTTGATCCAATCTTTTATTATCGCTCAGAGCTTTGAATATGAATTTAAAATGGGTGCTTGGTTGTGGCCGACAACAAACTAACAGCTAAAAGTGATTCGACTTTTTCTAACCTTGTACGAAACATGGAAGCACCCAAGAAATACAACACGTCCTCAAGTCGTCGGAACAATCGAACAAGTCTGAACTCCACTCACGCTCGGTCATTCTGGAAACTTCTACAATTTTCTTTTAAAAAATCAAGAAAATGAACAGAGAATAAATTTAATGTGAGGCTTCGTTTGTGTCTATCGGAATCATAAAAAGTTGGTATTGATGGTTGTGTTGCTTCTTATTTTTACTTTAAAGCCGAAAATGTTCAATCACGAAATTTAGCTCCAAGTCTTTCGGTATTTTTCTGCTGAAAATTTTTTGGTTGCTTAGTATCAGTAGCTTTCAATGTTTTGTCGCGATGAAACAAAAAGAAATACGGTACATCACACTTAACAGGAAGTGATTCAAAAATGGTGAAAAACGTGCGATAATTTAATAGTTTTCTTTAAAATCAAGTAAAAAGTTAAAAAAAAAACTTATTTAGCCTGAGGCTTTATAGAATCAGAGCGAGCTTAATGTCAAAAAAAGCAATTACCATGGACCAATTAAATCCTAGTCAATAGTTTTTAACAAACGCTTCCATGTCAATATGGTTATGCTTCTAACTGTATGACAATTGACAATGTTTGTTCAAAAACGTAAAGCGAAAAAGTTTTTTGTTGAGTTGAAAATTGATTAGGCACCTTGAGCGTAACATATTTTCTTAAAATGAAACTAAAATTAGAATCAGTGTAGACTTAAGAAACCATTTCTATAGTTACATTAAAACGGTTACATCATCATTAGTTTTATGGTTCGAGACAATCTGATTTTCCAAGAGGTGGGTGGATGAAGGTTGAACAAAAATTTAAATGCGGTTTTTTTGTCAAGAAGAGAATAATCAAAAAATCTGGCATCAAGAAGATCAACGTAACAAGAGAGAAAACGAGTCTAAAAAAATGCGTCTCGTACAACTTTCATTCTATGATTCATTCATTTAATACGTATTGAAAATTGTTGAGAAAAACTCGACGAATAGCATTCTAACCATATTATGAAAATGTATGGCTAGTATTTTGTCCATACTGACTAGCCTGAAACGCACCATGAAGGTAAAAGTTTTTTTTTGGTTTTTCCGTGAAAAGTTTTTGACGCATTTTTGTCGCAAAACTGGAGATGCAAATAGGAGATGCAAGAGTCCAGAAAATATGTATTAGGTTATCTTTGGTTGTATCAACTTTGAACATCCTCATATTTACTGTACTAATTTTTGTAATGTAAGAGAAACTGCTATTTTGAAAAAATGCTAATCATACAACTTTCAGAGTATGAAATTGTTTAACTAGCGTTTTTTGCCAAAATATGTTATGAATTATTCTAAAAACAATTCTAATACCATGAAACGGAGTGTGTTGACTTCCAAAGTCCTGATACTTGATGTATCAAGTTTTTGTTTAAGTAGAAAAAAATGCTAATTTTGAAAAAAATGATAGTCATACAAATTTCATACAATGAAACTGTATGGTAATTTTTTTTCATATACTCAACATATGAAACTGAAACTGTTTAAGGTTTTCTTAGATGGGGGTCAACCTGGGTTCTTAAATCTTTTTGATATAAATAGTGGTTTAAACAAGCAAATTTACGATTTTTTTAAATGTTTTTGTCGTTTTCTCTGTAATATGTTAAGATATAGGATTCCATCTTGACACATGCTTGCTAGATGAAACTATTCGAAAAGGCTGAATTGGGCCAAAAATTGAGAAAAAGCTCCAAAACAATTTTAATGTCTAGGTCGTCAAAACTTATTTGACTGTTTTCGACACCGGGTCAAGTATAACATTTATTTCTGATATCTGCCCTTTTTGGTGGCATAAAAAAAGTACGCAAGCTCATTAGTTTCCCAAATAACTAACACTAGATCATTTAGTCACATTCCTTGTTTTGTTTGCGAAAATTTTTCTTCAGCAGAGTACCTCTTAAACTAGTAATTGTATACTGGCTAATTTGCACATTCGAAACAATATTTCTCATTTTTGGCCCAACTAAGTCCTTTCAAACATTTTCCTTTAATCTACCAAGTGTTAGAATATGAACCCTTTTTCTAAGTAGTTGTAGAGAAAACGAAAAAAAGTTCGTTCATTTGTTCTTTGAAATCAAAAAGTTGCAACTGCTCTTTACCGTGTTATTGTCAGCATATTATTATCATCCAAATCTGTCTGAAA